GTCAGGCATGACTTCATAAAGTACAACAAAGAAAAGGATAGAAGATGGAAACTGTCTCCTCAACCTCCTAATAAAAACAAGCTATGAACAGCTGGGCCATGATCTCCAATGCCTATGATTTTTAGAAAAAAGAAATAGCCAAAGACTGATTGGTCCTTAATGCTTAATAAAGGGCATTGTATTTATTGATTAACACTGTTCAAGTGAAAGCATGTTTTTAATTAGTAACCCCTAAACATAGATGTTTCTGGAAATTATTTCTGATGTGTACATATACAAAACAAAAAAGAAAGCCACCCACAATCACGGACAGTATCTGATGTTACTTCTTTTTGACATCTGCCTCTTTAGTTTCCAAGCCACCAGCTCATTTCCTGAAATACATTTCAGTTTTCAAAGTTAACACTCCTTCCCAGTTCCCCGTGTGAAAGCTGGCATAAGAGACTTGTACTGTTTGCAAGAAAGATACTATAAAAAGGATCGTAATTGTGATCTCTTTCTAATTCTCTCTTTGCCTGGGTCATTATAAACTGTAGCAACACGGCTATTGGCCAGTGATAGAGCTAATGAGACCCTCTTATTAAATGTTCCTCTATTTTTAATTCTTAGTAGGATAGCTGCAATTTCGACACACAAGCCTGTTTCAATTTTACTTCTCTTTTCTGAATTCCTCACCATGTCTACTGTCATTATTGTAACTAAATCATTGTTATGATTTGCTCAGGCACAGTAAGACACTGATAAACCTAAATGACAATTTAGGCACCTATTTGAAGTTACATTAAGCTTTACATTCATGAAAGACAAGTGGATAAACTACTCTTCTCAAAATGGTAAAGTTTTTACTACAATGTATAAAAATGAATTGTTTTACCTATATTTTGAAATGGAATATCTACAAGCATTCATTTAACAGATTCACTGCTAGCTAGTCTGTATTATAGATTTGTTTCATTAAAATTCACAACAGTATAAATCCTTAAATGTATTTGTACTTGCTTGAAAAGACTTTACATTCTGTCAATATTAAATAGTTATGCAGAACAAGTGATCAGGACTTTTACACACCAAATTCTTTCCGGCAACCTTGATTGACAAATTAAGTAAATAAAAGTGTGCATATTTTGATGCAATAAATGTCACTGTCTAAGCAACTGAAAGTATATGTGAAAATTATTCAGTAAAACTGTGTAGTGAAAGTGTGGTTATTGTTATATAGTGATGCAACTCAAAATTAGTCACAATTAAAAACCAGTTCACGTCTTCTAGTAGAGATTTGCCCATCAAGAACATTGTTTAAAATTCTTCTTTATACATGTTATAAGATCTATTTTGCCTAATGTTTCTGGACATTATTTTTAAGTTATCCAAATTCTTATTTCAGATAAATGTTATTTTTGTGATCCTTACAGACATTAATGAAGGTCCTATTGTAAATCTATAAAGAATTACCAACTGAAGTGTGCACTTTTTGTTTCAATGCAATAACTCAGTGCTGTGTGATTGCCTGGGTTAATGATGAAAAAGTCAAATATACTATCAGAGCTGATGGAAAAATCTATCACCAATCTGAAATTAAAATTCATCTGTGGTCAATAAGATTTAATATCCATGCAAGTGGCGCTGTAAAGAGTAAATGAATCAATGTCATCAATACATAATCAGTATGAAATATGATGTGAATAAAATTATGTGCAAGAGTCATACATTCACTCTCTTCTGGACCAGCGTGGAATGAACAGTCTCTTAACTGAAGGTTGACAGTAATTGTTACAAATTAGGCACAGCAGTTATCAAAATGCACTCACTTGCATAGCTATAGGACTTATTAAGGAGATTAAAATAGATCTAAAACTATCCAGTTCTAGAGTACAGGACAACTGTTGATCAGAATTTTCCCCTTTGCTACTATGATTTGTAGACTCTATTTATTTATTTGGCTATGGTCTAAGAGCTACCATGCTATGGATAGAGCACAGTTACACAACCTCTAGTGGAGCTATAGGCATTACCAAAATGGTAAGAGAACAGAACCCTGGTTTATAATACTGAGTGAATTATGAGATGCAAAAAACACAAAAACAAATAAAAACCCCAAATCTTCATTTGTAGGGGTATTATAGTATGCTTCCTAAACTACTCAAATAAAGGAAGTATGTTAAAATTAGAGGATGTTAGTTTTAGATGGTATGAGCCCTACTTTCTATTCATTCAAGAATTTCTTTTTCTACAACACTTATTACGATAATTACGGATCTAAAATTTTCCTCCCACAGTAACCTGCTCTTTTGTAGTCCTTAATTGAATATTAGAAAATGAAACACTTCTGTTAAGAGAGCGTATGATGGGGTTTGTGCCCCATTCTATAATATATAGAATTCAAAAGCAGTACAGACAGAACCAGAAAATCAAATAAGAATAAACCAAACTGACTTAATAGAAGTTTCAAATTTAAAATTCCCCATACCCTGTAACTAAGTTAAATTCAGTTATTTAAAATGCCTCTTAAGAAAGGGGGAGGGAGAGACTGTCCACTATTAGGTTGAAAAGAAATTGATCTTCATTTAGCTCTAATAAAGCTTATTAGTAATTGTTGAGTATTCACCTTCTGGTCTGGCAGTAGTGGATTGCTCTGAAGTGAATTCAAATGGCCATTGATGAGAGCTGTAGGTCTATCATGTTCACAAAATAAACTGCCATTGATGTAGTGAAACCGGTCTCCTGGGACCAGGCGATTCCGGCAGGTAGAGCACGTAAAACACTGAAAAGGGAAAACAACACATCAAATGAAACTAGCACAGATTTAAAAAAAAAATAAAATGCTTCAGGCTTAATAATTATACTTCCAAGACTGCAAGAAAGGCACGAGGTATGAAGCTTCTTATTTCCCAGTGTCTCCAAATATAGCATTAGCTCTACCTGTTGGGACTACATGGTACATAATTCATAGGTTTACTGATTATTAGGAGGACAAAGCCATGCACCATGGGAAGTTTTATAAACACACATTCTTATTGCTAATTATTGCCTTGCAAATTTATGAATAAGGTGGACACAGCAGTTTCAACATAGCAAAGCAGTGTTAATAAGAGACAAATTAAATAATAAAAGACATCCTACCTTAAGATGATAGACATTGCCTTGTGCCCTCATGACCAGCTCACTAGCAGGAATGGACTGTCCACAAGCACTGCAAGCACCACTATTTCCAAATAACCTGAAATGGAGGTGATGACCATGAATAATTTAATACACAAGAGGCCCTTAACATTGTTTTTGTACATCAACATGACAGTTTATTATGTAACCATTTTAGACTTCTGACCTGTTTTGCAACTTGTTTACATCTTGTAATGTGCAAAGTGTATTTTTGTATATCTGGAAGCCTCAACCCCACCTCAGGAGTGGATACGCGGGATTTAATCAAAAATATTGACTTACACCTCTAGCAAATACAAAACAAATTCTGTACTACACACATTTTATCAGATTACTGGGTTCATCATAAAAAAAGATACAATTCATGACTGGAGTTTAAATGCATTGTGTCCTTGAAATTATATGAAGAACTCTTTTGTACTTTAATCATATCTTGAGATATGAGTCATCAAAAGGGTTAAGAGGATTTGATTGTATATCTAAGAAGACATCATGCTCAGTGTATTGAAACTCCAGTAAACCTCCATCAGTGCAGAGTTTCCATTAGAAACTCTCTGCTATCCAGGTTGATATATAATGTGTATGGGTTAACCTTTTCAATCATGGTGTCAACACTTTAGATTTGCCTCTGCTCATCTCTTTCATCCTAACCTTCTCTCTCTCTTGATAATGAAATGCTTGCTCCAACTTCCCTCTATCTGCTCCTGAGTCCACAATTTAGATTACTTCATCTCTGCTAGCAACAAACTGAATGAAATTTCGATTTGAGCAGAAAGTAATTTACCGGGATCTGGACCCATTTGTCATCATATCTCTCTGGGTGTTTGCTGTATCACTGCAGTTTTCCTATGCAATCAAATGAGACCACAACATCTGCCATGGGGGGGGGGGGGGGGGGGGGGGGGAAA